CAATGGAAATTTTTGGCCAACCACGAAGTATTCAACAAACAAGGCCAGTGATATTCTAATTTCCATTGTGAACTGAGAGAATACCCAGTTTCTTGATCTTCTCAACACAAGTGCCTACATTTCACCCTAAGGCGGTTTTAAGACCCTCAGTATGACATCATAGGAGAAGTCAATTTCTATATTCCCTCAGCGATTTATGTACATTGACTCATATGGAAGAGCAGAAGAGCTGTCCAAGATGGGACGGCCCTACGTGATCGGGCAGAACCATCCACTGGGTCCCCAGGCTGTGCTCTCCATGGGACAGATTGCCAGGTTTGCTCTCCCACGGTGCTGCGGCTGGGGTCAAGTTGCTGACCTTTAGGATCTCGGCGGAGCAATCACCCCTTGTGCCACCAGAGCTCCTTGAACGAACTGTACACGTAGCCAAATCCTAGATTCTAAATCAAATAGTCCACTATATTTCTAATCACAGATGTATCCATCCTATAAGCATCTATAAATTTATTTCATATACTGAACAGCTCAATATATAGATCATCAACGATAGTTCAATAATTTGTATGGTTCTTTTGTAAAAACAAAATTTACATATGATGTGAATGATACATTTCTTAGCTTTAGCATTCAGTGAGTTTGTGAGAAATCTATAACCATGTATAATCCAAACGTTATCAAGCACCCCAGAAAGTTCCCTCAGGCCTCTTTTCCCAGTTAATTATTGGTTTCAACCATCCTAGAGGCAAACCAGTCTTCTGCTATTTTTCACCAAATCTGGTTTTTATAAAAATTCAATCATAAAGTATGAGCTATTCAGCTAAGAATTCTTACACTCACCAAGCATGTTCATTTTTAGATTCAGCCATGTTTAGTCAATCAGTGTTTTCTTTCCTTGCATTGAGTACAACTATGTTAGCAGTGCCTTAGTGGAACAGTAGTTAAGTGCTAAGCTAGCTATTAATTGAGAGGCTGGAAATTTGAACCTACCATGCTCTTGGGAGACAGATGTGGTCGTCTGTGTCTGTAAAGATTACAGCTTTAGCTGTAATCACGGCAGGTCTGTTATGCAACAGGGTTGTTATGAGTAAGATTTTAAGAGGCAGCAATGGGTTTGACTTTCCTTTTTTTTTTTCCATACCACTGTATGAATGTGGGATAGTTTCTTTAACCATTTTCATACTAATAGGCATGGGGGCTGTTGCCAACTGCTTTTTAAGACTTGTGATTAAAGCTGCTATGAACAATCTAGTACAAGTCTTTTTGTAGTGTAGTACTGGGCAAGATCAACCACACCACTTCATTAACATTAAAGCCTTTACTACCCAGCTGGTTCAATAGGGATGTCGCCTGGAAAAACACTCTCGACCACGAACAAAGAACGCACCGAGTCTTCATATTAAGGCAGAGGGCTGGCTTAAAGGGGAGGGTAAACATGCAGGCAGTTACATTTTTACATATCAGGCGGGCAGGATACCAGGGAGAATCCCCAGACATCTAGAGAGATTCAAGGTATGCTAGGCATTTGGGGCTGGGGGTCAGTGGCTAAGGGCAGCTGGCTGCTAGCAGGGGGTTGAAGGCAGTTTGAAACAAAATGGAGTTCCTCATGCTAAACTGGGTTACCACAGTATCTTTTCATTTATAGGGGAGAGGGTGTCATGGTAATGTAAATGGGAATGAAATTACTAGGTAACTGGATCGGCTGTTTGGTTTTATAAGAAACTGCCAGTTGTTCCGCATTCTCAACAACACTTAGTATGATCAATGTCTCTAATTCTAACCATCCCTTGTGTAGTGGCAATTTATTTACATTTTCCTCATGACTAACAAGACTGAATACCTTTGTATGTGCTTATTGATTGTTCATATTTCTGTCTTGTGAAGTGTCTGTTCAAACTTGTGGTCATGTTTTAAATTGGATTGTTTTCTTTTTTATCATAGAATTGCACGAGTTACTTTCTTATTGTTGCTGTAACAAGTCACTAGAAACTTAAGTGTCTAAAAACAACTCAAGCAAAAAATAAATAAATCAAACATCTCAAATTTATTGTTCAACAGTTCTAGACGTCCAAAAGATAGAACTGTTTGCTCCCAAGTTGTTTCAAAGTCCAGGAAATCCTAATCAGGGTTGGAACTGACTTGATGACAGTGGGCTTGGGTGTTTGTATGCTTATCCATACTGTTATCTCTCAGGAATTTTAATGTTTTAAGTTTAATATTTAGATCTCTAACCCATTTGGAGTTCGTTTTGGTGCATGGTGTGAGGTTTGGACCCTGTATTATTTTTCTGCACCATTTTACCATACCATATATTGAAGAGACTCTCTCGTCCCTCTCTAATGATCTCTGACCCTTTGTGGAAGATCAGCTGCCATAGGTGAATAGCTTTACTTCTCAAGTCTTTTCCATTAGTGTATGTAGGTGTCTGCTTTGATTACTGCGGCTATACAGTAGGCTCTGAGCTTGGGAAGTATATGGCCTCCTATTTCGTTTTTTTCTTCTTCAGTAATGTTTTATTTATCCCAGGCCCGTTTGTTTTCCATATATTTAATTTTGAAATAGGATTTTGCTGTTGTTGTTTATTACTGGTATATAACATTACAGCTGACTTTTAAGTTAACATTTTACTAGTAACTGTGATGTTTGCAACAGTACGTGATTTTTGTTCGGAAGTCATACATAACAGGAAATCATAAATTGTAGACTCGTTATCAGCTAAAGAGACATTATCTGTAGGGCTAATATGAGAAAAACGTTTCTTTCAGTCCTATCATTTTCCTAGTTTCCATTTGCAAGGCCAAATACAGATAATTGCAATAGAATTCAAATGTATATTTCAATCCTCCAAAAGAGTTAGAGCAATCTGACTAGATCATAGGTGGGAGCATATCATGTCCTGGCTTTAACGCCTCACTACCGTCATTACTAAGATAAAGTATCATCAGACTTCTTGTTGTAGGTTCCACCGAGTCAGTTACGACACACAGCAACACTGCACAACAGACTGAAACACTGCACAGTCCTGCACCATCACTGCAATGGTTCTATGCCTGAGTCCACTGTTGCAGCCATGGTGTCAATCCGTCCTGTTGATTGACAGGACGTCTTCCTCTTTTTCTCTGCCCCTCCACTTTACCAAGCATGATGTCCTTCTCCAGGGACTAGCCTCTCCAGACAACATGTCCAAAGTATGTAGATGAAGTCTTGCCATTCTTGCCTCTAAGGAGCACTCTGGCCGTACTTCTTCCAAGACAGATTGTTTTGTCCTTTGAGCAGTCCTTGGTACTTTCAATATCTTCTCCAGCACCGCAATGCAAATGCATTGATTCTTCTTTGGTTTTACTTATTCAGTGTCCAACTTTTACATGCATGAACATGTAAATGAATGAACATACCATGAATGAACATACCATGGCCTGGGTTGGGTGCACTGTGGTTCTCAAAGTAACCTCCTTGCTTTTCAATACTCTAAAGATGTCCTGTGCAGCAGATTTACCTAATGTAAATCTCTTCACTAGCTGCTTCCATGAGCACTGACTGGGTTCAAGCAGATAAAGTCCTGGACAACTCCGACCCTTTCTCCATTTATCACGATGGTCCAACTGTGAAGATTTTGGTCTTCTTTACATTGAATAATAGTCCATACTGAGGGCTGCAATCCTAGATCCTCATCAGCAAGTGCTTCAAGTTCTCCTCACTTTTAGCAAGCAAAGTTGCACCATCTGCATATCGCAGGTTGTTAATAAGCCTTTTTCCCAATCTTGATGCCACTTTCTTCTTCACAACGCCCGGCTGTTCTGATGATTCGCTCAGCATACAGAGGGAACAAGTATGGGGAAAGGATATAACCAGGGAGCACTTTTTCCTGATTGTAAACCATGCAGTATTCATTCCCTTGTTCTGTTTGCCCAACTGCCTCTTGATACATGTGCAACTTCCTCAGGTGCACAAAGTGTTCTAACATTCCCATTTTCATCTACAGTTTATTATGGTCCACACGGTCGAATGTCATTGCTCAATCAATAAAACACAGTAAACATCTTTGTGGTATTCTCTGCGTTAAGCCGAGATCCACCTAATATTAGCAGTGATATGCTTTGGTCAAAGTCCTCTCCCAATTCTGGCCTAAACTTCTCAGTTCCTTGTCAATCTACTGCTGCAACTGTTGTTAGATGCTCTTCAGCATAAGTTTACTTGCATGCGATATCAATGATAGTACTGGTTATTTCCCATCAAGTCATGTCATTATTTTGAAAGACCCAAGGTCTCTCTTACCGCTATAGCTTTGCATATATTCCACTGTCTACAGTGTGCATCTGCCCTCTACGCAGTATAATCAGTGAGTTCCCATCTATCCTGCAGGACTCAGTTCATGTGGCATCTCCTGTCCGAGGTATTCCCTACTGTCTAGGTAGAAATAATATATGCTCTCTTTGTATTTTCACATACTGTTATCTATTTCGCACTTATAATACTTCTTCTAATACACTAGACTAGGAACCCTTATAAGGCTATTTGCAAGGACTTCATACTGCACTCCATGCAATACATTAACAATAATTGTTGAGTGAGCAAAAAAATAAAAAGATAAAATTTATTATATATGCCTTGTTTGTTTTTTTTATCTCAGTTTCTGGAATTAAGATATAAAATACCTTTTAAAGATAAAATGACCAAAAATAAAATAAAACATATATTTTAATTTTATTTTCCACAAACTTTTTGAAGTACCTTATATTTTCTCTAAATGAGAGCTTTAAAGTTTTCAAACCATAGAGATTTTACAAAATATAGCATTGGTCTTAAGTCTACTGTACATCAAGTTGTGACTTAAGTGCGGAAAGTTGACTCACAGCAAGACAGAAAATAAAAGATTATCAAAGCATAAAAAATAAAATTATAAAAAATTATATCTTCATGAAATATAACAAAGCAGTTTTAGAATAATATCAGATTTGTGTTGCAAGAAAAAAAAGAATTTCTTGTGTGTGAGAGAGACTTACTTTCTGCAGTTTGCATTATTATCTCGTCAAGTTCTTTTTCCAGCTTCTCATAAATGTCTAGCCTTGCTTGATGCTCAGAATTCTGTGCTTGAAGTTCAGTAATGCGTTTTTCAGAAGAGGCTTGGAGACTATAAAATTCTTTCGTTAAAACCTAATAGTGGAAGGAAAAAATGAAAAACAATGGCAGAATGAAATATGTTAACAGCTATGACAAAAACATGATACGAAAAATTGTTTCAGGTTTTATTTGCTTTTTTTAATAAATTAAATGTTAAAAGAAAGTAGCTTCATTTAGATGATTAATGAGGAAGTAAAATATATTTATTTTTAAGATAAATAATGCAGTTCTTTTTTACTAAAAATTATAACAGACCTTAGGAAACCTAAAGAAAAATAAATTCAAAACTTAAAAAGCGGTTATAGGCATGAGATTAGCATTGTTGTTAATGTTAGATGTCTTTTTGTGGTCCCTACTCATGGCAACACAACATACAACTGAATGACAAACTGCCCGGTCCTGCATCGTCCTCACAATTGTTGCTATGTCTGACGAGTACTGGCTTGTTAGAATTCAAAAAATGATAAATTTCCCAGGAGGTCATTTATTTGTCAGTCTTCATGATTGGAGAAAGGTTTGCAAGTTACCTAAACAGAAGGAAGCTGTGTGTGGGAACTATATATTCCATGGGTCGCCAGTTTCCCATCAGATGTAAGGAGTCTTGGTACCGCAGTGGTTCAGGCTCTTGGCTGCTGCTCTCTAGGTCAACAGTTGGGACCCAGCAGTTTCCAGGAGCAAAAGAACGATGTGGTAGTCTGCTTCTCTAAACATCACAGTCTTGGAAACCTTACAGAACAGGTTGACTCTGTCCTATAGGGTGACCAGGAGTCAGAAAACATCGCCGGCATTGAATGTGGCTTGGTTTTCACCAGTTTTATCATTTGTGATTTGTTTGGACAACTACAAGTTCAACCAGCAAATCAGATCATAACTATAAACATAAAAAATCAGAAAATGCCTTTGCACACAGTAAGAAATTATGAAAACTAGTTCTAAAAAAAAGGGAAAGAAATGTAAAGAAGCATGGAATTGTGGTCATTTGTATAAAAGCCAAAACTCCTACATGCTTAATGATAACTCAAGACAGGAGTCCCTTATGATGACAATAATGAATTAGCTAACAAGAGACACTGCTAATAAAGGAATGTTTCAATGTCTGTGGTAAATTCTAATTATCAATAAAGTTCATGTAACAGGACAGGCCAAATTATGGCGTGGTAGTATATCCGCCTCCCAGCACAGCATAAGAAATGCATTATATTTCCTTAGAAGTAATAGAACATTATAGTAGGAATACATTTTAATACCTAGAAAATCTCAATTTCAATTATGGCTTTAGCACTTATAAAATAATTTCAAATTTACAATATGTGATGATTGTTATATTATACGGAAATGCTTTTGTTATTAGTTATACTTATAGATTTCTTTCCTTATTTTCATTAATAGATCATCTCCAAACTAACAATATATTCAGTTTCATCTCTATTTTCATGTTTTATATTCATCTTTGTAATTCTTCTGATTTTATTTTGGTACACAGTGTGCAGCATGGATCCACTGTTTTTCTTTTAAATATTGATGAGATTATCACAGGTCCTTTATTGTCCTAGTTATTTTTTCCTGCTACCTTGGAATAAGCTCTTTCTCTGAGTAAATTCTTAGAATACATGTGCATCTGTTTTCTGCTCTTTGCATTCTGCACTATTTAAGTTCTTTTATGTTTGAAATATTCTTGCCCCTGTATACTTCTAAAACAGAATATATTTCCTATTAATTAAATATTGAATAGTCACATATATATGCACACATATGTACATAGTTGTTATATTTAATTAAAAGTGAACATATCATATTCGATGACCACTGAAGTGTACATTACTGAATATTCCTGTCCAGAAAGATGTGGTCCTTCCTCTTACATACTTCAGTACATTTTTGTAATTTCCTTGATATAGGTCTTGCACTACTCTTACTAAAAAAGATTCCAGGTAATAGTCTGATTTGGGTTGCTACTACAACCGGGATCTTTACCCCATTTTTAACACTTCCAGTCTTGTTTCCACATATTTCCATTTTGTGTATGTGCAGGACAGGAATACATCCTACAGGGGAAACAAAGCTCACAATGGCAGCCTTGTACTAAGGAGCTTACATAATATGTCAATGCCAAAAGTAAGGCTTCTTACATATACCTCCAATTTTTTCTGATATTTTTCACATTCCAGTTGACATTGCATGAGATTCCTTGCAGTTTCCTCTTGTAGAAGTTGAACACGCTCACACTCAAAAGATTTTAATTTACTTTGATGGAGAAATTCAGATACTTTGCTTTCCTCACTCATTTGCAATTCTCTGTATCTGGAAAAAGCAAAATGATTATAAGACCTCTGGAAAGAATTTATATAGAGGGCAAATATTTTGAGAATGATGAAGGCAACAAATGTACAAATGTGCTTGACACAATGTATGTATGTATGGATTGTGATGAGTTGTATGAGCCCCCGATAAAATGATTTAAACAATAAAACAAAAAAACAAATCAGACACACACACACACACACACACACACAAAGAGCTGTCAGAGGCCCCAATATAAGAAAACAATAATAATAATAAAATTTACGTAAATATTACTTCTAATTCTTTCACCCATCTTTTATATACTTAATAATTCTTATATATTTACCAAGGTTCTTAGAAGCAATTTAGATAACATACCATAACAATTAACTTTTTCCATTCCTCCCTTATTTTTCTTTCATTCACCCAAAACTATCATGATCGTTACTTTTTGTAAGTCACTTAAAATAAAATAAAAACAATAAGAGCAAGTTTTAATTCCACTGTGTAGAATAATTTCATCTCAACACATTTCATATGCAAATCAAATGCCCCCTTGCAGAGTCTATGTTGAGAATGTAAGTCTTTTTGGAAGCGACAGGCTTATCTTAGGTCAAAGGAGTGGCTGTTGGGTTTGAACCATTGACCTCATGGTTAATAGTCCAATGTCTAATTCACAGCACTCCCGGAGACCCTTAATACATTTCATAGTATTAATTCCTACTTTTCCAGCATTGTTTCAGAATTTGCTATTTAACTCTGTCTAAAAAACACTAGATGGAGAAGTATGGTATGAAATATGTACATTAAAGTGTGAATTCTTAAACACTTGAAAAATAAATGTTACATTCGTTAGGATCTTATTTATTTGAGTATTACAAGGAAGCATAATGTAGAAACCACAGGTAAATACAGAACTACAAGTAGTCTAGTACAATATAAATAAGGAATACTCTCACCCCCCCCCCAAAAACCCAAATAAAGAATACTCTATTTTAGAAATATAATAATAAAAATGTTTCATTTAACATGTCAGTCTATATATTATAAATGTGAAACTATATCAAGTTGATTCATTCTAACAACAACAACAACCAAAATACCCACAGGTCCATTATACCATGTCAGGCAGCTAGTATCAATTTATTTATTCAAATATTTACTGACCTAGTCACTATGCTTGGTCATTGACATACAATGAAAGGCAGGCATTGATTCCTAAGGAACTTAGGAGCTTTCCCGTACAGATAGTGAAACATGAAAATTCAGTAGCGAGTAAGCGCTTCAGTTGGGTAAAGCCTAGGTGGCTGGCCGCATACAGGCAGGAAATCGCAGGTTTGTGTGGGAATGTGTTTGTGTGTGTGTGAGACAGCAGGGCCGTGGGCTGGACAGAAGAAACAAGAGTGCCAAAAGGGCAGGACAACAGCAGAACCCACTGGCTTGCTCATGGCAGCTCACCTACTCCTTAAAACACCCCTATTAGGCGTTTTTCAGAAACAAAGAGAAAATGGAGGCTCAGAAATATCAACTAATTTCGTTAATTAGGAAGAAATTATCTTAAATTTCAGATTGGGACCGAAACCTGGATATACATTCTTTGTAGCACTGAACTATAGACTCTGTAGCAACGGACCTTCCACAACACGGCATTCTGCGTACTACAGGACAGGCAGTCTTGAGGCTAGATAAACTGAGTGTTTCTTTAAAGGTCAATCCATTCCTGTGACACAAACAGTAACATTCGAAGTATAAGCAGAGGAGATAAACATTGGCTATGTGCTATACGCTTCACAATGCTCAGCATTTTTCTCTTTAGCAAAAGCATCTCATATTTAGACTGGTAAAAGTCTTATACTATGTAGATTGTTATATATTACTTGTGTCTATCTGTCAAGATCTAGAGGTAAATTTCAGCTTTTATGCCTACCTTTTAACATGCATTACACTTAAAAAACCCTTTCAATCTATAATTTTATTCTTAAAAATTCCTGTTATTGGAAAAGCTAGCATGGAAAAACTTTTCAAGGATAACGCTAGTTTTCCATATCAACTGGCATTTTTTTTTACAAGTAGATTTTTAGTGAGACAATTCACATATCATAAAATTCACAAGGTTGTGCCATCAGCATTACATAATCCCGAACATTTCATCTCGCTAAAAATAACCCAGTACTCAATGGCAGTCGTTCCTCTCAGGCACTAGCAATATTGAATCTTCTTTCAGGTACTATGGGCTTCCCTATTCTGGATATTTCATGGAAATGAAACGTACTATGTGATCTTTGTGTGTGCCTTCTCTTTCAGCTAAAGTGATGGTTCATCTAGGATTTAGCATGCATCAGTAATGACTCATCCCTTTTTGTGGCCATATAATATTCTATCGTGTGGATATGCCACATTGTGTTTATCTTGTCATCAGTTGGTGAAAATTTGGGTTGTTTCTTCCTTTAGGCTCTCATGAGGAATGCTGCTACAAACACACACACCCTTTTTTTTTGGACATCCAAGTTTCGTTGGGGACACAATCTTTTTATTTTTCTTGGTTGCACTTGTAGGAGTGTAACTGCTAGATCATATGATAACTCCATGCTTAACCTTTTAAGGAACTGCTCAACTTCTTTCCAAACTGACTGCTCTACTAGCATTCTCATCAGCCTTGCATAAGGCTGCTGATTTTGCCATGCTTTCATTGGCATTAATTATTCCCTTGTTGACTATTGCCATCCTAATAGGTGTGAGCTAGTAAAATTATTCTTGTATTTAAAAAAAATCATGCGTTCAAAATTTTAGTTGTATGAAAATGTCCCTGTGTTCCTTGGGGCAAATAATCTCGTAAATATGAAATTTAAAATATGTGAAATTAACATGCTAAACTATGGAACACACCCAGACCATCTCCTTGAAATACATATTGGATAAGATATACAGGATGTTGGACTGGCCTTTAAGATAAAATGTGCCTTTTATGGAGGCAGGGAAGTGTGAGTGATCCTCTGATCAATGCTACTCCAAGAAGGAAATTAATATGCAGACTTGAACGTGACCCACTCTTCTTATTCCTTATACGGCCCTGCAGAGTTCATTCTAGCACTGATATTCTTCCTCCAGGGTGAGCAGTAACAACAACAAAACCTATCTTCTGTCCATGGGAGAGTCTCAAGCTTTCAAAAGTGATGCTTCTATAAACCAAATGATAATTCTAAAAAACTAGTCTAGTCCCATACTGTTTTTACCGTGAAAGAAGTGAATCATTAAGCCGTTCTAATCATCCTAATTATTTCAACTTCTTAACTTCAACTATGACAACACTGAACAAACATTGGAGCTACAGAGTGGCTGCCACAGTGAGCTTTGGATGAAGACAAGAGCATGGTGGACAGTTTCAGGTAACTCCCTTTTACTCATTTGGCAAGATTAACATTTTACGCTGCTGACTCAGACTTCTCATCCTATCATCTGAACCTGAACTTCTTATGAACATTACATCTGTTTTATCCACACATTAAAAACTTTTCTGCTTAATGTTGTAAATCAACATGCCAACCTTAAGAGGTCATGTGTCCTGTAACTTTAAAATATAATGATAACCTCTCATCCATCATTTTTAAGGACCATCCTGCTCTGGGCTCTGTATTTGGCTAGGTTTGTCTTCATGCTACATCTATAAGTAACTTTTTCAATTTTCTAAGACCCACCCATTGTCACACCTCACTTTAAACATGATAATATAGAAATCTTATGATACACCGTTGCCTCTGAAGAAATATTCCCAGCCACAGAGCCTTTGAACTGGAAGGACAAGCAGGAAAAAAAAAGGAGCTATTATGTAGGGAGCTACCAAGATGTTATTAATCCAGAAGAGATGCTCTCAGATTACAATGATTCAAACTCCAAGCAGCATGTTCTGCAAGGCTCAGAAATAACCCCAGGAAGGGCATCACCACAGTGCTCAGTTCTCAAAATTGGGAGAAAACATTTGAATCAAAGGACTGGATAAAATATTATTTAAATAGCAAAGATTTTAAAAAGAAGATTGGCCAGCATTCATTACATAGATGCTGTGACAACATCAACTATAGCATCAAAGAATAACCTGGAAAGAGGGTTGCTAGACACCGTACTTGTTACAGTTTTTGTTCTTCTTCACGTTCTTGTTACACTCTGAGCTATGCAGTTTCTATACTATCAGCAAAAGTTATCCTTGAGTAAGATCAAAGGCTGATATAATTTTTAACCTTTTCATTTTATCCTAAATTAAAAAAAAAATTTCAATGAGAAACAACATTTGATTCTTGAATCCTGTACATACACACACAGAGTGCATGGCTTCTTCAATGTTAAACTGAGCATTTTTTTCTGAACCCATGTTATCTAATCTCATTTGGTAGACAGACAACCTATGGCAAAAATACCCCTGCATCCCACCACACAAAGTATTATATCTGGTGATGAAATTCATCTCATCACCATGGCCAGAAAGTGGCCGTAAGTGAAGATGCTTTGCTCTGTTTGGAAGAAAGGCAGTGAAGTGGTTGAGGTAAGGCAAATGCAAAATCATGTGTAGAGAAGAGCCTAAGAAGTAGGCTCGGATCTCATGTAAGACTGGCAAAAGAAGCTCAACAAAATAAATTATCAAGGGTTCATGGGGGAGGGGGGGGCAGGGAGGGAGGGGAAAAATGAGGAGCTGATGCCAGGGCTCAAGTGGAAAGCAGATGTTTTGAGAATGATGATGGCAACAAATGTGCTTGACATAATGGATGTATGTATGGATTGTGATAAGTGTTGTACGAGCCCTCAATAAAATGATTTTAAAAAATAACAGGTACTCTAGTTACTGGTAAGAGCTCAGGGAAGGATTTCTAGCAATAAGGCATTAGGCAGAAAGTAATGAGCGAGACTTGGGGCCAATACAGAGAGACTACAATGACTTATAAGAACACCTGTGCAATTAGTCATGGCTGTGTCGCTAACCCCAGTAAGGAAGTGGGCCAGTAGCTGCTGATAGATGTCCTGCACTC